CCGGGCTGGGGATTCGAACCCGCCATCTTAGGTGTAGGTGGCTGGCGCCTTAGCCGGTTGAGCTATAGGCGCCGAGCCTGAGCCCAGAGTTCTGAAGTAAAACCTGCTCAAGGTAGAGGCAGACAAGGAAAGAAGGTAAGGGTGTGTCCTCACTCTCTTGAGATGGCACCATGGAACCACTCGGGGACCCCGCCTTGGGCCAGCTGGCCCACCTGGGTGTGCACAAACCAGTCTAGTCGTGGGGGTAGCGGTGGGGGCAGCGGTGGGGGCAGCCTTCCAGCCTCTGTCATAGCTTCCTAGGGGTGTGGTTCACCTGGGGGCAGGAAGGAGAGAGAGAGTCAAGCTTGGTGCACTTCCTATATTTGCTCTATTCTTATAGCTTGTGTTTCCTTCTCCTTTGAGAAGTTCCCAGGCTTGACAGAGCAATGGCCTCAAAACTGGCTCATGTGTTTTGAGTACCAACTATATGCCTGGCACTTTTTACACATTCATTCATTGTCTTCTCTCCAAAATTCTTCAAGCACTTTTCCTTTTATTCATTTCTTTTATTTTTTCTTTCCTCCTCCTCTTCTCCTTCTTCATCTTCTTTCTCCTCCTCCTCCTCTTCCTCTGCTTTCTTTTTTTTAAACAGAGGGTCTCCTTCTGTTGCCCAGGCTAGACTGCAGCCTTGAACTTCTAGGTTAAATAACCCTGAAGCTTTAGCCTCCTGAGTAACTGTGACTACAGGCATGTGCTACCATGTCTGGCTAATTTTTCTCTCTCCCCTCCCTTCCACTTTCTCTTCCTTTCCCCCCTCCCTTGCTCCTTTCCTTTCTTCCTTCTTTCCTCCCTTCCTGCCTCCCCTCCTTCCTTTCTTTCTTTTGCAGAGACAGGATCTGGCTCTATTGCCTAGGTTGGTCCTGAACTTGAACAGGGTTCAAGCAATCCTCCTGCTGTAGCCTCTTGAATAGCTGAAATTACAGGTATGTGCTACCACATCCAGCTAATTAAAACATTTTTTTTGTAGAAACAGGGCGTCATGATATTGCCCAGGCTGGTTTTGAACTCCTGTCCTCAAGTGATCCTCCCATCTCACCCTCCCAAAGTGCTGGGATTACAGGTGTGAGCCACTATATCTGGCCTAACTACAAGGGCTAGAAAGTTTCCTTCATAAATAAATGTATTTAAATTTACAAATAGAGGCCAGGCATGGTGGCTCACCCCTGTAATCCTAGCACTTGGGAGGGCAAGGTGGATGGATTGCCTGAGCTCCCAGGTTTGAGACCAGCCTGAGCCAGAGCAAGACCCCATCTCTAAAAATAGCCAAGTGTTGTGGCACGCACCTGTAGTCCCAGCTACTTGGGAGGATGAGGCAAGAGAATCACTTGAGCCCAGGAGTTTGAGGTCTCTGTGAGCTATGATGTCACAGCACTCTACCAAGGGAGACAAAGTGAGATGCTGTCTCAAAAAAAAAAAAAAATTACAAATAGAGGCCGGGTGCGGTGGCTCATGCCTGTAATCCCACCTCTCTGGGAGGCTAAGGCAGGTGGATCGCTTGAGCTCAGGAGTTTGAGACTGGCCTGAGCAAAAAGCAAAGCCCATTTCTACTAAAAATAGAAAAATCAGGTGGGTGTTGTGGTGGGTACCTGTAGTAGTGGCTACTTGGGAGGATCACTTGAGCCCAAGAGTCTGAGGTTGCTGTGAGCTATGATATCATAGCCCTCTATACAGGGCACAAAGTGAGACTCTGTATCCCCCCCCCAAAAAGAGTCCATTACAAATAGGGTTCATTTGAATATTGGTAACATTGATGTCCTTGGAGAGATGAGGAGATGGCAGAATAGTAAGTAAGCAAATGAAGGAAACTCTGAGAGGCCCAGGCAGTGGATTGCTTGAGCTCATAGGTTCAAGACCAGCCTGAGCCAGAATGAGACCTCGTCTCTACTAAAAATACAGAAAACTTAGGCAAGAGGACCACTAGAGATCAAGAGTTGAAGGTTGCTGTGAGCTATGATGTTGCCATGGCACTCTACCCAGGATGACAGCTTGAGATTCTGTTTTTTTAAAAAAAGAGCTGGGCGCTGTGGCTCACACCTGCAATCCTAGCACTTGGGAGGCCCAGGCAGATGGATTGCCTGAGCTTGCAGGTTTGAGACCAGTCTGAGCCAGAGTTAGACCTTGTCTCTAAAAAAATTGCCAGGCGTTGTGGCAGGAGCCTGTAGTCCCAGCTACTTGGGAGGCAAGAGAATCACTTGAGCCCAAGAGTTTGAGGTTGCTTCAAACTATGACACCATGACACTCTACCAAGGGCGACGAAGTAAGACTCTATCTCAAGAAAAAAAAAAAGGAAAGAAAGAAACAGCTGACTCACAGTGGGTGCCAAAATGGGTACTTTGATTTCATTAAACACTAGAGAAATGTGGCTCCAGACAGTTGTTCCTGCCACCAATGTTGCCACACATAGTGACCATTGATGGCAAACCTATGATGTGTGAGATGTGTCATTAATTCACACATATTTTTGATAATGTTAAGGTCAAGGTACCACTGGAACACTGTGAGTCAGTTAACCCGGAGCTGGAGAAAGAGAGAAAGCAGTACCAATTCTCAGCACAGTTTTAAGTCTGTATAAAACCAGCAAAAAGATTGTGCCTCATGGATTGTCTCCATGGCCTCTCTCTCATTCTTAATTCTGGCCCTAGACTGGTGCTGAGAACCCTACCCACTGGCCTCATCTGATTTTTCAATATTTCAAAAGGTCTTTGTTACAGTACTGTCTCTCTGGGGACCTAGAAACATTGACTTGTTGATCAATGGCAGTCAATATTGACTTCCTGCTTCTGGAAGACAAACATACCCATACCCTCCAGGATGTAGCCCAAAGGAATTCTGAGGTAAGTGAAATTAAATGGATCTATTAAGAAATGTTCAATAAAACAGGGTGACAATGCGATGAAGAGCCTGGAATTGGAGCCAGATGACCTAGGTTCAAAGCCTAGCTTTCCTTACTTAGCTGGTATGTGACCTTGGGTAAGTCACTTAGCTTCTCTTGCCTGCATTTTCACCTGTTATTTGGGGATAATGATATTTACTTGGAAATGTATAGTTGACACAGAGCAAGCACTGTGGGTGTATATGCATATAAATTTATGATATTTATAGTTGTGTCCTAGCACAGGGCAATGTTTATAGGCTTATTATTTTTTCTACTTGGAAAAACCACTGCTTATCCTTCAAAACCCAGGAAAAGTGTCCCCTCATCAAGCTAGCTTTCCTGCCTCTTTCCCCAGACAAAGCTCTGGCACCCCTGTTGCTCCCCACCTTCCCCAGCGTTTCTCCCTTTGGCACAGCCACGATCCCATGGTGCTGGAGTGTTTTTGTCTGACTGTCTCCATCAGACTGGGGCCTCCTGAGTACCAGCGTCCAGAGTAGGGTTCTTTTATTAATTTTTTTTTAATCTGGGTTCCCAGCACCCCTTCCTGCTGGCTGGGCCCAGATGAGGGGGCCAGGGTGCTTGTTGATGAATAGCTATCTAGCGATAAATGAACCCATACTAAATTTCAAACTCCTGATCTGGGCCTTAGGGCCTCTCCTACTTCCTCATTCCCTACATTCTAGTCTTAAGGACTTGTTGCTGTCTCTCCCTCCAGGCCTTTGCCCACATTCCCCTGCCGGGAGTACACTTTCCCCAAGCTGAGGTTCTATTTTCTCATGGTTACCTCAAATGACCCCTTCTCCAGGAAGCCCTCCCCCAACCTCCCTCACCCCGAAAATTCCTCATGCCTCTTCTGTACCCCACCGTCCCTGTTCCTCTTTCTGGCTCAGCCTGTCTCCCATGCTGTCTCCTTGAGGACCGGAGAGTGCTGAGGCTCTTGGAGTACATACCTGGAGGCCCCCCTCTGGTGGCTGAGGCCCTTACTCTGGCTGTGCCGGCGCCTGTAGGAGCCTGGGTTTCGATTCAGGGTCTGCTTGTCATCAGTGGGGCGGGACCAGTTGCCCCTAGGCGGTTTCTGGGTTTCTGTTTCCTCTAGCAAGCAGGTGAGCCCTGGAGGCGGGACCAGGCCAACCAAGCTGCTGTCTGTCTGCAGTCCACCAAAGCCACTAAAGCTGCAGGAGGTGGTGGACAAACTTGCTCCTGCTTAGCCTTCAACAAGCTATTCTTGAGAATCTATTGTGTGCCAGCTCCTCGGGGGACAGAGGGGTGAACCGAAGACAGGTGCAAGCCTTCTTCTCCCAGCACATGTAATCTATTCAGTGGAAAATCATTAATGTCATCATTATGAAGTGGCCCGATTATCAGGAAGCTTGGGGGTGGGGTGGGCAGAGGGGACTTTATTGACCTAGAGAAAGGAGGATTTGGGGGCATGTAAGAGTTAACTGAACTTAGGGCTGGTGCAGAAAGAGTGTTGTATGTGGAGGGAACAACACAGGAAAAGATTCTGAGTCTGGAGTGAGCCTTGACAGGTGAGTCTCTGGGCGAGCACAGGGTCAAAAAAACCCCAAACAAACCAAAAATTCATTCAGAATTAATTAGATTTTACATTGCATCAAGGCTGATGTAGTCCAGGCTGGATTCCTTATTACATATTTATTATCAGTGTGTTCGTGGTTTTTTTTTTGCAGTTTTTGGCCAGGGCTGGGTTTGAACCTGCCACCTCTGGCATAGGAGGCTGGTGCCCTACTCCTTTGAGCCACAGATGCAGCCCTTTTTTTTTTTTTAACCTTATTTTAAAAGAAGTTAAAATGTTTTTGGAGCTCCTACACATACTTTGTGGGCCCAGGGTGTGGCCCCCTGTGCTTAACGGATTGGCCATTCCTGGCTGTGCTCTGTGTGCTCATAAGCATATGGGCAAAACCACTTCCTCTTTGCTTCACATGTAAAAATAGCCCAGATAGGCCTGGTTCCCATAGGTCAATAGTTAGGGTGCCGGCCACATATGCTGAGGCTGGCAGGTTTGAACCTGGCCCAGGCCTGCTAAATGACAATGACAACTGCAACAAAAAAATAGCCAGGTGTTGTGGCGGGTGCCTGTAGTCCCAGCTACTTAGGAGGCTGAGGCAAAAGAATCACTTAAGCCAAAGAATTTGAGGTTGCTATGAGCTGTGAGCTGTGACACCATAGTACTCTACTGAGGGTGACATAGTGTGACTCTATCTCAAAAAAGAAAAAGTGGCCCAGATACTTTTAGCTGGGCAAAGGGCCTCTCCCTCAGCCTATCACCCTAGCCTAGCTGGGCTAGATAAACCCCACTGTAGGGTAAAGCTGGGTGCCCCTCTCACCTCTCCCCCATTTCTTCTCAAGGTGGCAGGGGGCAGGGAATGTTGTCTGGAGTCTGTATGTCAACAAGCCCCAAGCAGGAGATAGACACATGGAACCTGGCTTCTTGCTCACCTGCTGTGTGGCCTTAGGTGAGTTGCTCAGCGTCTCTGAGCTTGTCAGTTCCACATCTTTGAAGTGGGAGTGATAATGGAAACCCTTAGTCACGTGAAGATGATAGGAAAACAACCCTACAGCCCAGACAGAGCATGGAGCTCAGTTGAAAGTAATAACATGAGGATTCTTCATTGTGACTTAATCCAGTGCCTCTGTGCTTGACTGCGGGAGAGGCAGGCTTGGGCTCCAGATCTCATAGCTGAGCTGCTTTGGGCAAATCAGTTCACCTCTCTGACCCTCTATGGTCTCTATAGCCCAATGGGCTGACTCCCAGCTTCGATGGTGAGAAACAAGTGCTGTTGTGGGAGGGGATTGGAAGTGCCTGGGAGATTCTTGGCACTTAGAAAGTCTGGGAATCAGGTGTGAGGGGTGGGGGTGTCAAGGACTCTAGGAACACAGGGCTTAGTTCTGGCCCAGCCCCTGAGGCCCCACAGTGAAGGGCTCCATCTCACTTCCCCTGACCTGCTTAGGCAATGTGGTCTCCCACAAACTAACGACTTCTTTTCAGAAACAACAGAATAACCTCTCACCCCCTCAGTGTTTTTGGCTTGCAGGAAGGAAGGGGACGAGTGGTAGCCTGTGTGGCAGGGGAATGGAGGTGTCCCAGTTGGGAGGTAGTGGGCTGGAACTCCAAAGTCCCCCTCCCTCTGATGTCAGCTTCTTTTTTTTTTTTTGAGACGGAGCCTCAAGCTGTCCCCCTGGGTAGAGTGCCGTGGCATCATGCTCACAGCAACCTCCAACTCCTGGGCTCAAGCAAGTCTCCTGCCTCAGCCTCCCAAGTAGCTGGGACTACAGGCGTCCGCCACAACGCCTGGCCATTTTTTGATTGCAGCCATCATTGTTGTTTGGCGGCCCGGGCTGGGGATTCGAACCCGCCACCTTAGGTGTATGTGGCTGGCGCCTTAGCCGCTTGAGCCACAGGCGCCGAGCCTGATGTCAGCTTCATCTAGGGAGATACATTGGGGCTTCTTGGGCCTTCTCACCTTCGGGCTTCTCGCCTCAGCTAGTGAGTGGGACATTCATGGTCCTATGCGAAGTGGCCTTTGGAGTAGTTATCACGATGCTATATCACTGCTGAGAAAATGCTGGAACCACAGATGTTAGGGAGGCATGAAGTCCTTGGATTCTGCCAGTGGTGGGCTTGGTACAATTTTATGGTTCTAGCTTCCTACAATGCCTCTTTTCAGTCATTGATCCCACAACCATTGGCAGAGCCCTAGGTCTGTGTGGAACATGCTAGATGCTGGGGATGAAGCTGGAGACAGGACACACATGGTCCCTGCCCTGCTGGGGCCCACAGTCCATAAAGAGACACATGTTGAAGGAGTTCATATGCAGGAAATGCTGGCAGACAAGGAGACAGCAAGGGCAAAGGTCCTGGGGAGGGAATGAACTAAGCACCCTTGAGGAATAGAGAACAGCTAAGGTGTCCAAGAGGTAGAAACAGCCCAAATGCCCATCAGTGCATTAATAGATCAACCCAATGTGATCCAGCCACACAATGGACTATGGTTCAGCCTGAGGAAGGAATGAGGAGGCAGTGATATGTGCTGCACTGTGGATGATGCCCAAAACTTCATGTTGAGTAAAAGAAGCCAGACACAAAAGGACAAGTATTTTGTGACTCCTTTGACATGAAAGGTTCCCAACAGGCAAATACACAGAGACATAAGGCAGATTAATGGTGGCCAGGAGCTGCGGGGGAGTGGGGAGTGACTGACTGCTAATGGAGCCCAGGTAATGAAAATGTTCAAAAGTTGACTTGGGGGCAGGTGTGGTGGATCAAGCCTGTAATCCCAGCACTTTGGGAGGCTGAGGAAGGAAGATTTGCTTCCTCGGCAATCGTAAGCTATGTTGATGACTTATCAGGCTTTGCCAGGGAGCTCTGAGTTCTAGAAGCAGGATTCTAGGCCCTCTGAAAGTGGGTGTGCGGAAGCCCAGGGATAGAGATATGAAATGTTGAGGGCAGCTGAGCGGGAGACTTTCAGGGCAGGCTCCTAACCTTATCAGGTGGGGAGGGACACAGTTGGGGGCTCCCAAATGCTTTGAGTTTGTACTGCCTTCTCGGTGGGCTTTGGGGTGTCTAGAGAGGGGGGAGCCCTGGGGACAGGCCTCTAGGTTGCAGAGGCCACTAGGTTGCAGCTAGTTGCTCTGAGGGGAGAGAATGTCAGCTGCTCACTCCTTCACCCTAGAAGCCATATATGTGTCCTTCATTTTTCTTTAATAGACAGGGTCTTGCTCTGTCACCCAGCTGGAATGCAGTGGCATAACCAGCTCACTGATGCTTGGGCTCAAGCCATCCTCATGCCTTAGCCTTCCTAGTGGAACTATAGGTGTGCCTGGCTAATTTTTTTTTTTTTTTGGTAAAGATGGTGTGTGTGGGTGACACTCTTGTTCTTGTTGGTCTTGAATTCCTGGCCTCAACCAATTCTCCTGTCTCAACCTCCCAAAGTGCTGGGATTACAGGTGTGAGTCACCATGGCCTGATTTCTGTCCCCACTCCCCCCCAGACAGACTCTCAGGGTGTAGCCCTCGGTACAGTGCTGTGGTGTCATAGCTCACAGCAACGTCAAACTCTTGGGCTTAAGCGATTCTTCTGCCTCAGCCTCCCAAGTAGCTGGGACTATAGGCACCTGCCACGATGCCCAGCTATTTTTTTGGTTGTAGTTGCCATTGTTGTTTGGCAGGCCTGGGCTGGAATTTGAAACCGCCAGCATCGGTGTACATGGCTGGCACCCTAGCCGCTGAGCCATAGGCGTTAAGCCTGATTTCTGTTTCTTAAGGATACACCGGAAATAGTTTGAAGGACAAAGGAGGCTAAGTGGTTCATGAGGAAGCTCTGAGAGGTTCTGATCAGAGTGGCTCTAACACAAGAGGGGTCAGCTACTGGCCACGATGAAAGACAGGGGATGAGCCCAGGTAAGAGCTGTGTTACTTTTAAGGTACTGATTAGATGTTCAAATTGGAATAAGGAGCACGCAGGTGGAGCTCAGACTTGGATCTGGGCTGCGTTTGCAACTTGGAAGCCAGTGGCCTGTCTGAAGGCACAGGAGTGTGTGCAGAAGAGTTAACGCAACAGACCTGAGGCTTATTCTTGAGAAAGGCCTGCTGGCAAGGTGGGCCCTTAGCTGGTAAAATTCCCTCCTGATAACTCCCCTACACACGTGGCTCAAAACTGTGCCTAAACTTCTTTTTGTTTTTAAGAGGCAGGGTCATGCTCTGTTGCCCAGGCTAGACTAGTGGCCACTGTAACCTTGAACTCTGAAGTGACCTTCTTGCCTCAGCCTCCTGAGTAGCCGGGACTACAGGTGTGCACCACCATGCTTGGCTAGTTTTTCTATTTTTTTTTTTTTTTTTTTGTAGACATGGGATCTTGCTATATTGCCTAGGCTGGTCTCAAACTACTGGCCTCTAATGATCTTCCTGCCTTGGCCCCGAAGTGTTGAGTTTACATGTATGAGCCGCTGCACCCAGTCTAAACTTTTTGAGCAAACAATGCCATTTCTGCTCAATACATCTTTCTGGAGTTTGGAATCTTGCTGTGTGCCAGGCCAAGGGTGACTATGTGGTCAGCCCCAGTTAAGAATCTGGCTATGGAATCTCTAATGAGCTTCTGATAGTCACCGCTGGGGGAACCAGCTTCTGCCTGGTTTCCCCTAGACTTCACCCTCTGTGCCTTCTGTCTGTTGGTTTTCCATTGCAGCCCTTTGCTATGATGCACCTTAGCCATGAGTAGTTATATGGCAAGTCCTAGTGAACCACTGAGCCTGGGAAGGAGTGCTGGGAGAGGACCCCTGGTGGGGTAGAAGAAACACCCTGGGGAATAGTCAGAAGGTGGCTCTGGAAGCCACCAGGGAGGTGGGAGGGAAACAGTGGCCAAGATGTATGGCAGAAACCAGGTGGGCGGGGCGGATGCAGAACTTGGCCATGTGGATATCATCAGTAACCAAGACAAGAGAATCTGGATGGCATGATGGGGACTGAGGTTGGCCAAGCAGACCATACAGGACACAAAAGTAGAACTGTGAGGGGGACTTCTGTGAAAGGTGAGGCAGAGGTTGGACTATGGCTGCGGGGGGCACTGTGGGGAGCTAACTTGAACCAAATTTGCCCTTTTATGACAGGTGTCATGTCCTCCAAGTCACCCTTCCTGGCCAGGGTACCTCTTAGCTTCTGCTTTGATCTTGTCCAGACCTGAGCCCTGCTCTCTGGACACTTGGCCACCACCACATGGCCTTATAGGGAAAACATGGACATCAAAATCCATGAACTTGATAATGAGCTTTAATTTGTTTGTTTTCCTTAAGTGCATTTATCAATGTAAACAGAGCATGTTAGAGATTCCAGGGGAGAGCAGACTATTGCTGGTACGTTGGTTTTAATAAAAAAAACAAAACAACAAAAAAAGAGACACCATGATGCCAATGGCTTGGACAGTAGCTCAAGGAGGGGGAAAACCCATAACAAAAGAAAAGGCTCCCTGGTGACACCCCTCCAGCCTGGTGACCTGGTCCCAACTGCAGTCCCTCTATAGGACAGAAAACTGTCAAAACAGAACCCAATGATGATGGCTCAAAACTAACCCAGACTGCCTTTGGGCAGCCCATTTCCATGGAATGCCTCTTGTTTTAGCCACATCCAGCTAGGGGTAATAGGAGCTTGTTCCCAATCACCTAGGTTTGACATTGGAAATCAAAGATGGAATCACTTCATGGCACTACGAATATGGAAAAATAAAAATCTCAGCTAGGAAGGATGTCCAATTTGGAGACAGCATGAGGATGCAGAGTGGGGGCCATTTTGGTGCTGAGAAGAGGATGACCCCATTGCAGGAGGACTGCGTAGCAGGTGTAGTTGTTTTCAGGGTCACCTGTGGTACAGGTACACACAGTGTCCCCTTGGTGCTCAGACAGGGACGGCCAAGGGGCCTGGCTGGACCACAGCCCTAAACCTGGCTGTGAACAGGAGAAGCCGCCCAGGGTTCTTTCCTTCTCAACACTTTAAACAGGATTTCCTTAATTTGTGCTTTCCCTTTGGTTTAACAGTTAAAAAAGAGAGAGGGGGGAAAATGATTTTTGTCACTTGTCCAAAACTGAGAGGAAGTGGGCAGCAGTCTTGTGGGCGGACACTTCCTGGTGGGATTGGCGGCTTCCGTCAGGGTGCAGAGCCTAACACTCCCAGAACTGCCACTGGCCTGTGGGGGCCTTACTTCCCTGGTGGGGGATAGGAACGGGCTTTCTGGTGGGGATTTGGGTCATGGCAAGGCAAGGAACTGCAGACCCAGACATGGAGGCTGCCACTGGTTGTTGCTGCTGGTCACACCTTGACTCCGTCTCCCTCTCTCTTTTTCTGGATACTCGATGCATGAGTAGGCCCATTCTTCAGTGGACGTTACAGAAAAAATAGCAAATTCTTAACTTATTCCATTTCCAAAGTTGAAAAAGATCAGACAGTTACTAAAATAAACAATTTCTCAATTGCATTCTGGTGGCTGCAGGCCCAGTGGCCATGGGCCCAGTGGCCACGGTGCGGACGGGGCGTTGGAGATGGGAGGGCCCCGGCTGAGTGAGGGGTTCACTCAGAACAGGCACAGTCAGCTCAGCTGAGCGAGGATCAGAGTAAGGCTGAATTCCTCACAGAAGAACACATCGGAAAAAGCTGCTCCTTTTCTGCTGGTCTGGCGTGATTTTGACTCCTTGGTTGCTCCCCTGGGGGCTGTTGCCTTCCTGGAATCACAAGAGGATTTGATTTCTAAGGTTACCACAGAATATCAGCATTCCATCCAGCAGGTGGTGCATCCATCTCCTTTTAACCAATTATCCATCCATCCATCCAACAACTGTTCCTTCTAACTGACAGTTCATCTTTCACAGATTTCCTTTTCATCTACTACCTACTACCCCTTCCAACCATTACGTCAATCATTTATCCACCTACCGATACCCATCTCACTCACCCTTCTGACATATTTTGAACCACTTGTTCTCCCATCCAACCAACTCTCTTCTTTCTATACCTCCTTCCCTGCATTCACTTGCCCTTTCCTCCTTCCTTTTCTGTGCTGAGTACCATCCATTGAAGCAGCCCAGGTTTGAACCCAGAAAACCTGGCCAGGTCCCACTGCCACTTGCATTCAACTGGTCTCTGTATCCCTGTGCCACAGCTCTGCCTTACCATCTCTCCTCTCTTATTTGCCTTCCACCTTTTGCTATGGTGGATGAAAGACCTGAGCTCTACTCTTGTCAACTTACTCTCTACTAAAGCCCCCAGCACCCCCCACAATCTTCAGAGCAGAATGCCCCAAGTCAGCTGCCTGGCACGCAGAGCCTGTGTGATCTGTGGATCCTGGGAACTCAAATCCTGTTTTCTTCCACCTCATCCTGTTTGAAAGGCTTGCACCCCCTTCCCTCTCCTCCACCTTCATTTCTTAGACTAACTCCTTCTCATTTCTGAGCTCTTAGGTAAAAGCTGGATTGATGCAATAGCAACGACTCAAGGCCTCCAATGTGCCAGGCTTCTTACTGGGCACTGGGCAAGCAGTGGCAGATGAGACAAAAGCTCCTGTCCAGGGGAGCTTGCACTGTACAGGGGGAAGATAGATCACGGAGGAAATACACAGGCAGCATGATTTCCCACAGTGGTGAGCAATGAGAGAGACAGGGACAAGGGGCAGAGTGACAGTGGGAGGTGTATTTTGATGGCAACGTCTGAATGGAGACTTCACAAAGGGAGGAAGTCAGATTAGTGAGGGGTGATCCAGACTTGTGATCAGTAGAACACAGCCTCTGAAGATGTCCACACCTAATCCCTGGAACCTGAAAATATGGCATGTGACACGGCACAAGGGACTTTGCGGATGTGGTTAAGGTGAGGTGGGGGTGAGGAATATCCAGGTGGGGCCATTCTGATCACAGGAACCCTTAAAAGCAAGAGCAGCTGTCGTCAGAGAAATGGGTAGGGCACAGAAAGGAACTAAACTGCCAGTGGTTTACAAATCAATTAAGAAAAAGCAAAATCACAAGGACTGGAGTTATGCATGGGCACTCATGTTCTATGATGTCAAAGGATCTGGCACATTCTCCAGGTAGTCAACTGCCTGGCATCACAGGGGCGGGCGGAAGAAGGCAAAATATCACCACAATACTCAGGGAGCCACAGTGAATCAGAGGGGATGTAAAGAGTCAGATCTTGACCATTACATTGAAGAAAGAAAACTGCAAGAAAATCCCAGTCAGTACATTGGTTTACGTGGAGTATTTCCTAGTTTGATTTAATGGCCAAAAAGCTATTAAATCAATCATGTGTGTTACTATTCAACTCACATCCTCTTTGAATTATGAAAATGTACATATTCTGTCAACTACCTAATTGGCACTTTGTATTTTATGGGCAGTCTCGTGTGAAACAGAGCACTCTACGCTCTTTGGTCAGACAGTGAATGGAACTTATTGGGGAAAGGGTAGCCACTGGAACTAGGGGTCAGGAGGAAGGGTCACAACGATGTTTGTACAGGGATATGTTTTGATGCTGAGCCTGGTGGACTATGAAATCACTCAAGTGGTAAACAAAAAAAGGAGGAAACAAACCAACAGGTGTCTGGGGAGGGATTCAGGCAGACCTCCCTAGATCCCTCAGAGATCCTGGGACCTGATAAAGGTCACTGAGGTATCACCACTTGCAGAATTGGGGCTAAGGTAGGGGATAGGGGAAGATCACCAATCTGCCATACTTGTGAAGATGGTAAGCCAGTGGTTGTCAGACACAAGAACCGAGAACCATGGAGGGCCTTATTACTGCGTGGACTCTGGCCTTGGCTTTGCCCAAGAGGTCTGGGAGGCTCTTTTTTAGGAAAAGGCTCTCTCTTCTCAAACACCACCACCACATGGGTTGCCTGGGTAGTCCTTCTCATAAGCTGAATGCAAAGGGCTGTTTGTCCCCTAGGGGCTTGACATGCAGGGCCTTGTCTGCCTGGGCAGCGCCCCTCGGATGACAGAACCTGCTGGTGCCCCAACCACATCTGCAAATTCTTCCTCTTCCCTACCAATTTCCTATGGGGTCTGCCTGGGCCCTAAAAAGCAGGATTTGGCAGAGACCCTCTTGGGGATCTGGGAAGGACATGTACTCACCAATTTTTTGTCCATTTTTGCTTTGATGTCTCTGGCGAGAGTGAAAAATGCCTGTGGAATCAGCACAGTGTTAGTAGTGTGGAGTGGCAGGACCCTGAATCCTTGGCCACCCACATGGGCAGGATACAACTTTGAAATGACTTTCTAGGCGGGGGTCTCCCATTTGGCCCTTTGATACCTGCCTGTGACAGTGGACTCAGCCGGCCTTTCTAGTCCTACCCTCTGCCCACCCAGACTGCTCCAACTGTCTAATGTCAGCTTTCATATCTGCAGAGTGCCTTATGTCAGGCAGACCTCCCTGGATCCCTCAGAGGGGACTTTTGCACAGGCTGCCTCCCCTGAGGCAACAATCCTGTGAAGTGGGGCCACACACAGTTGGCCAGGAAGAAAATTGAGGCTTAGAGGGGCCAAGTGACTTGTCCAAAGGTACTCAGTGCTTAACTGACTGATCCAGAAAGATCTCGAAGGAGAGTCTAGCTCTCCATCTCTGACTCCTAGGTTCTATCTGGCCATTCTGGCACCCATTCTGATGGTCAGGAAGAAGGACAAGCAGCTCTTTGGCCAAACAAGCTCCATTTTGAGTCTGTGCCTGGCAGGACAAGGGAGTGAAAGGCTCATCTTCCAGCATGGCCAAGGCTCACACTGTCACATGGCCTTTTGAACATTTCCTCCTGCCCCTCGTGTACTCTTTCCACAAAAACCCATAAACTCCTCTCTGTGAGCTTACCTTACCCCTGGGGAGGGACCTATTGAGATGGTCGTAGAGGCCCACTTTGCACACATACAGCTGTGACGTGGGGAGATTTGCTGGGGAGAGTGGCTCAGGGTGCTGAGGAAGTCTGAGGAGGCTACAGGGGCTTCTGTGATGTCAGACTATCTGGGCTGGGCCCTGGTGGGAAATCTGACAGGCGGGGATGAGGGAGAGAACATGGCAAAAGCTTGGAGGACGGAATGGCCCGGGTTGCCTGGGGAGGGTCGAGGGCAGGGTTGGGGAAGCCCCAGCCCTGGATGGCAAACACCAGCCAGGGCCAGCAAGGAAGGGCCTTCTGTACTAGGTGAGTTCCATGCCAGGTCAGGAGCCTGGGCTGCATTAAGTTGGGTGTGATGTGGAAGATCTAGTTTGGAAACATTACCAGGATGGTGAAATGCAGGGAAACGGGGTTGGCCACAGGTCAGCGTTATCCCATGGAGAAGAGAGGTGCCTGGGAAAGGCCTGGTCAGAGCTTCCTAACATGCCTGGAATTTGTCCAGGGCCTGTCTGTAGATGACTAGTATAGCCAAAAGCATGAACCTGGAGCTGGGCCCAGGCACCCAGCCACCTGGGATGTGTCCTATGTGGCCTACATGGGGTTTGTGCTTGCTATTGTCAGATTTCCACAGGCCACCTGCGCCTGACACACAGTGCTGCCCAGGAAATGCTCCACAGAAGACTGATTGACAGCTTGAAGACAACCCCGCTGGTAAACCTCTCTGGAGGACACTAGCCCATCCCTTGGCAGATCTCACAGACCCCATGTACCCCAGCAGGGCCTAGGACTCACGTTCTCCACGTTGATGTTGGCCTTTGCACTGGTCTCCATGAACTTGATTCCATAGTCGAGGGCCAGCTGTGAGGGAGGAAGAAACATGTGTGTGCTCATCAGCTGCCAGGCACTCCTGAGCTGAGGGCTGAGGCTGACACCAACGGGGAGCAGTGATGGGGGTGGGAGGGTGGACAGAGGCCTGCTATGCTCTACCCTGTTCCCTGTGGCCCTGAAGCCCTATGGGTTTGCAGTGAGCCGTCTGCAGCCTAAAGCCAGGTGGGCACACGCTCACCAAGATTGTGAAAACTATCTCCCCCAAGTTTAGCCTTTCTACCAATGAGCACTTGGGAGGCCCTGGAGCAGGGCAAAGACAAGAGAAGCCCTCTGTGTGGGGAACTCTGAAATTCCAAAGTCCTTTTGCCCCTCAGGGCCACCATGCCCACCTTTTCTCCTCGTTCCTTGGAAACTTGTCTCCTGTCATTCACATCACACTTGTTCCCGAGTATCATCTTTTCGACATCTGCAGAGGCGTGCTGAGGGGAGAGGTGCAAGAAGGGGCAGTCAGATCAGACAACACAGACTAGGCCACCTCTGTCAACACATGGCCTGTCCCTTGAAATCAGAATGATGGGGTCAGGACTGCTAGGCACAGCAGAGGACCAGAGGACAAGCTGAAACTGAGAGGGGCTGAGCAGCAGGGCCTACGTCACAAAGCCAATGCCCTTGGCTCAACCTTTTGGCTGAGGTCAAGGTTCTAGCTATTATTCCGACCAAGCATACAACTTCTGGCTGTGGAGAGCAGCTTCTCTGTGGGCTATCAGTCAGGCCCCCAGGCCTGGACTTTTGGTGGGGTCTGGTCTATGGGAGGTGAGTGAGACTGAGATATTTAACTCCCCAACACTCTTGCTTTCCTCCCTCCCTCCTCAGCTCCTTTATGGGAGGCCCCAGCTGCTGTCCTGCGATCTTCTGCTCTGACTTTTCAATTTTCTCTTTACGATCCAGAAATGTACAGTGCCTGAGGTGGCCACAGGTCTCTGCCATTGCCAGCCCTTGGTATTTTACCATCTCCCAGTATTGCTTTAACTCTGCCCTTGTCCCTCAAAGTGGCTCCTTCATCTAACCCTCCTCACCCCCAGTACAGGGGTCTTGCTCCCCAAATGATAGGGACGTTGCAAAGTACCATCTTCTTCCACCAGCTTGGGCCTGGTCTCAGTGGACCCACTTTACTCCTCCCAGCTTAACTTCCTAGGAACTAGAAGACACTCTCACTTACTGGCCAGAAACAGAGTTCTGGGTAGACAGTGATGTGACCTTCTGCCGTGGCCTTATGGATGGGTAATACTCTTTGGCTGTGCCTCAGACCCAAAGCCCCACCTAGTTACTTATCAAAAGCTAAAGGTGCCATAGTCCAGAAAGGCTTTGAGGGTAAGGTCAGCTTTCTGGGGAGCAGGAAGATGGAGATGCTGACTTTGGGGGTGGGGCTAGCCTCCCCTTTTTTATTCCTTCGCAGTTCAAGGTCTGAATGTGGGTAGCTTGTACCAGCTCACACCCTGCTCTGATGTAGCTCAAAGTACAATCTGATCTGCCTGCTCATCACACCCTCCCAATACAAGGGTCATGCCGGTGCTAGAAGCTTCCCTCTCTAGACAGCACCAAATGCTCACGGTGACCACAAGCTTTTCTCATGACTGTGACACTGGTCAGATCTGACAGCTCAGCTGGGGAAATGGGCTCTGGGAGCTACTCTGTGACAGGACCAGGCCAGCATGCGGTTCCTACAGCTAACTGTCTAGGCCTCAGTCCCTGCTCCCCTCTATCCTTAACTCTCACGCTCTGGGCAAGTTACTTCTAGGTGCCTCTGGGTAAAGGCTGAGGAGCAGACCTGAGGTAGGGGCCAGCAAGCCTTACCTCTTCAATGTTTCGAATCCAGTTCCGGATGTTGTCAAAGGACTTCTCATTGGTGATGTCGTAGACCAGCATGATGCCCTAAACAGGGATAGACAGAGACACAGGTTCCTAACAAGTGGCAGGTTCTTAGAAGGAGAAGCCCCAGCAGGCTAGTGGAGATGGGAAGACAGTGGCATGGGGCCCACTGTCGGTCTCATGGCCAAGCCCATTGGTTGCTACCCTTTCCAATGAAACACCTGGAAGCCAGCCCCCTTCTGGTCTCCAGGCTCTAGCCCGGTTCCTGTGGCCACCAAGACCACCCTTCTGCCTCACAAACCAGGCCATCACGGCCCTTGTTTCTCGGCCTGGCTGGCTTCCTGCACTAGCAGGTAAGTCCTGCCAACAACAATCCCTGGGGTCCAGGAGGTCCTATAGTCCCCTCATGGTGAGCTGTTTCACAAGCCCATAGCCTACTACATCCCCTCATGCTGACCTTCCCCAGCAGCCAGCCTCCTCCTCAGCTTTCACACCCTTCAATGTGTCAGGTATTGCAGTGGGGTCTCACTGAAGCCTTTCAGGCCCTGTCTGGGTGGGTCCCACCATGCCCACTCTATAGGTGGAAGCCTGAGGGTGCAGGTGGTGGCCAGGCCCCTCTATAGTCGTACATGAGTGTAAATGCTAGGATGGGGGTATGAACCCAGGCGGCCTGATGCCGACACCCCTATGCCTCCCAATGGGCCTCCTCTCAGTTCCCTAAGCATTGCGTGAGTGCCTGAGAGACAATCCTGAAAGAGCTATAGAGTAGTCCCGCCTCAGTCCACGATCTCACCATCACTGTGGAGAAGGGCAAATGTCTCCATGTGACACAAGGGGAAACAGGCACAGAGATGTGACCTTTAAGATTCAAGTCTAGGTGGGTCTCACTCTCAAAGAGCTGGTAACACGTTCCTCTTGGGAACCTCCCTGGGCCTTTGTCAGCACCAAAAGCAACATGTGGGGCCACTCTTTGATGGGTGCCTTGGACAACCTCCAGGGGCACCCATAGTGGGGCAGTGTGCAGGGCCACTGCAAGGCCCCCTGTGCAGCTGAGCTCTTGGTTCTGAGGCACATGGCTGCTTTATACCCTGGACCAGCTTAATCTGTTCCTCCATACTACCAGTTCCAAGGGCACAGCCCTGTGTCTGTGGCACCTAGAGGCATACTGATGGCCTCTGCAGAATAAGAACATGGGTCATATGGCACTAGGTAGATAGGTATGGGACAAACCCATGCAGATGGGGTTAAGAAAGCCACCGCACTCCCAAATTCCCCTCCGAGATCAGGGAAATGAATGTCCTTACAATCTGTAGCAGCCACTGCCAAGGCCAAGGCCCCTCACTTTCAGGGATCCCCTGAGGGGCCACTAATGGAGGACTCAGAGGGGTTTGGTGGCCCCTGATGTCTGCCATGCCCTAGCTAAGGTGGGCAGACCCTATGAGTCAAGCACTGTCAGGGGCAGGGGCCCCTTTAATCCAGGGACTGGACTCTCTGATGGCCAAGGGTTCCCCCCACCATTAGCAAGTTGGCACCATGTGCCCAACATTCCAAGTTTCCCGATTTTTATCTATTATGGGGGAGAAGGGAGATAATCTGTGAATTTAGAGGCAGTGGGTATAGCTGTCTATCAGGATAGAGCAGAAGTACATGAAAAACACTGGATCACCCTATTCCAGGCCTTCCTTGAAACTCCCTGCAGGACTGTAAGTGACTATTTTCTGGGCCCCTACCCAACACACCTCCACATGTTGGTAAAACTCACAGAGGGTCACCAGACGTCTAAAGCTCCCCAAATTTGGCACTTCTCAAACCAAGGGTCTAGACCTCTAGGAAGGAGAAGCTGATGTAGCTGCAATGGTAGTGAAGTTCTCTGCTCTGTCCTGCACAGCCACTGCTAACACAGCTCTGGGATGCATGAACCAAGCTGCTGTAACAGAGGGATTGGAATTTGAATTTTAAATGGTTTAAGATTTAAATAGGGTTGGCTTGGGTCTAGGAAGACTGAAAACCACAATCATCTCAGTGCTAACTGAGAATGTGGGCTCTAGAGACAGCCAGCTTGCCCTGACCCTGCCGTTTGCCCTCAGTCAACTTAAGTAGGGCAAGCAATCAAGCCTAACTTTAGGTTGCCAGTCACCCAACAAGGCAGTAACGCTGGCACCTGCACTCAGGGGGTTATGGCCAAGAAGCAATGAGATAATCTGGGCTAAGACCTGGGTCTGGCGCCTGGCACATGGAGGGCTCAGTAATTGGGACAGGGTGTTGGGTAGCAACTTCAGCCCAGAGAGGGTTGGGACCTACCTGAGGTCACACAGCTCTCTCCAGGGGCAGAAGCTCCCTTAGGACCCCAGGATCCTGAGGTCCTTGCCCTACCTTACCCTGTACCAGAGCACAGAGAGGTGAGGGGAAAAAACGTAAATTTTAATGAGGAGCACTAAGGTTGCAACCCACACAGTTGAGTTTCTATTTTGTTTCAGATGGTGTTGGGATGCTCTAAATACTTAACGTCCCCATTCACTACTGCAGCCCACAGGTCTTTCCTGAGTTCCTACTATATACTCAGCAGGTTCCCAGGAAATAGGCACATGGCAGTGACTGAGACCAGAGTGTGTGGTCTAGCAGAGGAAACAGGTGCCCATGCAATAATGGGGTGTGCTAGGGAAAGTGTAGGCAGCAATGGGTGCTGGGAAGGGGTAGATATAGCCATTCATCATCATTGCATCCTAGGTTATCAAGTTCTCCATTCCATTTTCTAAGTAAAGAACTGGAGCTCAGACAGTAACACAGGGTCTTGGGCCAAGTCCAGGGGCTTGCCCTCCTACTTCTAGCCCTGAATGCCCTGGACCCTCCCTCTGATGGTCCAGGCTTCCAGCCACCACCTGTAAGTTGGCACCATGTACCTAACATTCCAAATTTTTTTAGATTTTTACCTATTGTAGGGGAGGTAATCTGGGAATTAGGAGGCAGTGGTTTCAGCTCTCTATTAGGATACAGCAGAAGTACCTGGAAAATGCAAGGTCACCCTATCTTAGGCCCTCCTTGAAATTCCC